CAGGGCTGGGTGCTGGGACAGTTCTGGCACTGGAAGGCAGCAGGGCTGGGTACTGGGACAGTTATGGGTGCTGGAAAAGAGTGGGGCACCCCCAGCCCTGCCCGTGCCCCCTCCTCCCTGCCCTCCACCCCGCAGGAGCTGCTGAAGGAGACGCGCAAGGAGCACACCCTGAGGGCTGTGGAGCTGCTCTACGCCATCTTCTGCCTGGACATGCAGCAGCTGACACTGACCCTGCTGGGCCACATCCTGCCCAACCTGCTGACGGACTCCTCCAAGTGGCACACCCTCATGGACCCCCCCGGGAAGGCCCTGGCCAAGTAAGACCCCAGACCCACAGGGACTGTCTCCTCAGAGAGTGGTCTGTGCTGGGCTGAGGGTCCAGCTGCCCAAATCCCACTTTGCCTTCAGCAGAGCCAACAGTTCCCACTTTAGTCCCCATTCCCCCTCTGAGGAGGCACCTGCAGTGTCCCACACCCCACTGTCAGGTGGGCTGGCAGCATCTGGCCATGTCCCTGCTCTGTCCCCAGGCTGTCCGTGTGGTGTGCCCTGAGCTCCTACTCCTCCCACAACAAGGGCCAAGCCTCAGCCCGGCAGAGGAAGAGGCACCGGGAGGACATTGAGGTGTGTCTGGGCAGAGCAGGGTTTGGCTGGGGGCTCTCTGTGCCCAAAGCAGCAGTGGTTGGGTGAAGTGAGGGTGGGTGGGTGAAGCCAGACTCCCTGCCCATCTTCTCTGGGCTCTCTRAGGCTTTCCAGCCTTAAAATTCAGGATTCTCCTTTCTCTTTTCTGGGCAAGGGGCTGTAACGGGTGGGTGCAGCATGTGTCCAGCCCAGGCTGGGAYGCTCTGGGTGAACAGAGATCAGATCCTGGGCTGTGGGGCTGTGCAGAGCCCAGGGTGGGTCACAGCCCCACTCAGGGGAGGCCAGGACCCCCTCAGTGAGGGGATGGTGGGGCTGACCCCCTTTTTCCCCCAGGATTACATCAGCCTGTTCCCGCTGGATGACACACAGCCCTCCAAGCTCATGCGGCTGCTGAGCTCCAATGAAGAGGATTCCAACATCCTCTCCAGCCCCAGTAAGTGCAGGAGGGGAGGGGGGATGGCTCCCCTGCCTCGCTGTCTCTTTTGGGTGTGAAATGTGTATTTGCACAAAATCCTTTCTGTTCCCAAACCGGCCGGGTGAGGATTTAGAGCTCTCAAGTGTTTTTTGAGTTATGCAGGAGGTTTTGCACTTGGGGAAGGCCAAAATCTTCGTGTTTCTGATCAGAACAACTTAAAAGGGTGAGGTGGCACTTTCCCTTTGTGCCAGTGCCACCCAGCCCAGCACCTCACACCCGAGGGGCTCGTGGGGGCTTTGTGTCCCTCCAGCCACCCCACATAGAGGTGGCATTCCTGGGGCCAAATCCTGACATTCCACTGCTGTTAACAAGGCTGGAGCAGAGCAGATGAGCCCCTTGGTCACATCCGTGTCCCTGCAGTGTCACAGGTTGCGACAGCTCGGGCAGGACCTGCCGGGGGGTCCATATCCTGCCCACATGCGTTGTCCACACTCCTGTGCAGTGAGTCAGGACATTTCCAGGTCCTTTTTTCTTTCCTTATCCCAAATTACTCTATATATTAGTTTTCGACACATCCATTGACCTTCGGTTTCAGTTGGTTTCATTACTGTCGAAATACCGGCTTTTCCCTTTATTTCACTTATCTTTTTTTACCTCCTGAGGCAGTCCCACCTCTTCCCAGCGACATTCAGGACTTTTCTGGGCTATTTGCTGCAGCGATGTGGAAATGCCTCTTCCTGCAGCTGCCATGTAACTCATGTGATTCCATGAGAAAAGTGTGGGAGGGCTTTTCTTTTTTTGGTGAGCATCCTCAGAGCAGCACAAGGTGGATCCATCCACRGTCTGCAGATTTGGGCAGGAGCTGTGGATCCTTGGGGTGTGCACAAGAGCCTTCCTGAGGGTATTCCCATCCCATCAGAGCAGAGCTGACCCAGTTCTTCCCACAGGAGCGCCCGGCAGCGCTTCACAGCTGGGGTCAGCTCGATCCCCATGGTCTGTCCCAGGATTTGCTGCTAGATTTGGACGTGCCTCAGCTCTGATAGCTGGATTGCACCCTGACAGTGAGATGGGAGAGCTGCTGTGCAGCTGTTGAACATCTGGCCTATGCACAGGATGTGTAACGTGTGTGTCGCTGCCGTTCTCCTCCGCTCCTGATCGTGACACCGAGAGCGGCGTGGGGAMCCTGCCCAGGCTCCCTGTGGGCTGGCAGAGGGGACAGGGACGGGGCACAAACCATCTGTGCTGCATCTGTGCAGGGGTACCTCAGGGGTGCAGACTGTCGTGGTACAGGGGGTCTAAACCTCTGCTGCTCCACGGGGTCATTCATGATAAAGTGTCTTCAGGAGCTCGAGTGGCCAGAGCTGGCTGGGGGTGGGCACATTGGCTCGGYCAAGGGGGCCATGAGGCTGTTCCTGACTCTCTGCTCCTGCCYACAGATCGCTCCATGAGCAGCTCACTCTCTGCCTCCCAGCTCCACACCGTCAGCATGCGGGACCCGCTGAACCGAGTGCTGGGTAAAGTGGGGACGGGTCTGTGGGGTCACATCCAACCATTGGGACACCAGGGRGAAGTTTGGGCCACCCCCAGTCTCCCTGACTGTTGATCTCTCTGGGTTTCCACAGCAAACCTCTTCCTGCTCATCTCGTCCATCCTGGGGGCCAAGACAGCCGGCTCCCACACCCAGTTTGTGCAGTGGTTCATGGAGGAGTGTGTGGAGTGCCTGGAGCAGGGCAGCCGTGGCAGCATCCTCCAGTTCATGCCCTTCACCATGGTGGGTCCAGCAGCTGTGACACCCCTGTCCCTGTGCTGACTCACAGGGTGCTGGTGACACTCACCTGCGCTTCTCCTCTGTCCCTGGGCAGGTTTCAGAGCTGGTGAAGGTGTCCACCATGTCCAGTCCCAAAATCGTGCTGGCCATCACTGACCTCAGCCTGCCCCTGGGCCGCCGTGTCGCCGCCAAGGCCATCGCTGCGCTGTGACCGGGGCTGCTCCAGCCAAGAGCGATCCCTGAGGATCCCATGGATCTCCCTGACAGCCTGGAGGCCTGGGATGGCCTCTGTCACTGCAGCTCCTGGGGGGCTGCTCCCTCACCACGCAGAGCCATCCCCCTGCTGTGCTTCATGGCACCTTTGAGACTGAGACGCCCCCTACTTTTTTTTTATTCTATAAATCAATCTTTTTGTACAACCAGCTTTTGCCTCATCTACATTTGGGGTCCTGGGGCTTCCCAAAACCCCTCGATTCCGGTCAGTGGCCAAACCCTGTGCTGGACAGGGGGGCAATATCCTTTTCCTGGACCTCAGAGTGGGTGGTGGGCTGCCCGTGGTGCTTTCACCGTGAGCAGGCATTGTGCTGGGTGGGGCAGGGATGCTTCCCTGCTGCGCTGGCAGCCACAAGCGGGGTCTTGTTGGGAATTCTGCCACGTGAGCGTGAGTTCTTGTAGGAATTCCCCCCGTGAGAGTGAGTTCTTTTAGGAATTCCTCTGTGAGTTCAGTCCGAGGTGAGTAACTGTGGCCTCCTGCTGGGACAGGCTCCCCCGGGATTGTCCCCACACTGCTGCAGCAGTGAATTCCTCCCGGAGCTGTCACAAATCCCTGTCCCCGAGGGGGTGGCAGGGCCAGGGCAGCTGCACCTCTGCCCCTTCCACTGCTGTTGACTCACAACAAAGGGGAAAGCGGGGCCAGCGGGCACCAGCCCTTCCCTCAGGGTGCTGTGACTCTGAGCCCACTCCYGGGCACCAGTGGGGTTCCCAGCCCTATTTTGGGAGGCTCCGAAGGGAGATGGGGCACAGGGGGATCCTGGAGCAGTGCTGCAGGCGTTGGGTCAGTGGAAGAGGCAGCGGGACGGTGCCTCAGGGCTGGGCTGACCCCGTCTGATCCCGACATGAGCTCAGCTCCGGGGCTCTGCTGGAAGGAGAGCCCGATGTGCCTGCGGGAGTTGTGGGTGTTGCTGTTCCTTCACGGGCAGAGCATCCTCCCTTTCCCCGTGGGCTCAGTCCAGGGCTGGCTGGGGCGGGTAACAGAGCACCGGGATGGGCTGCAATGGCCTCACCGGGCCGGACAACGGCGTGAGTCCCACCCTGAGCTGGCACCGACCCTCCCGGGCACCTCTGCTGGCCCAGGGGAGGCTCTTTACCGTTAGCCCGGAGCAAAGAGCAGGATCTGGCGCTCGTGGCCTTCCCGGCTCTGTCAATATTTGCCAAGGCAGCCCCRTGCCTGGCGTTGGCACTGGCGCTGCCCCTTACAGGAAGGGGCTGGAGCAGGACAGAGGGGTTTTCTGTAAGCACCCATGAGGCGGGGCAGGAGGAGGGAGCTGCTTCCTTCTGAGGGGCTCCAGTCTGTGCCAGCCCCTGCCCAGGGCTGGGAATTTGGGGGGAGGCAGGAACTGGGATCCCTGGCACCCCCYAGCACCGGGCTCTGTCTCTGCGGGGCCGGGATGAGTGTGGCGAGGGATGCTGGAGGTCATGGGATGTCAGCGTGGGCCCAGTGGCAGGAAATGGGGCTGGTGGAGCTGGGACAGCCCGGGCTGGGCAAACACCCGCTGGGGGTGCCTTTAGGGGCTTTCTGGGGCAGGGGAGATGCCCAGSGGTCTCCTGATATCGCTCAGCCACATGGGGGGCTGCCCCCTTTTCCCATCCACTCTGCTGAAAGCTTCCTCGCCCCATGGCAGCTCGGGGAGGGCTCTGGGCACGTCCCTGGGCAGCTGTGGCACAGATTCCCGGTGTGACAGCAGCAGCGCAAGGGTGGCTGGGCACCCGCAGTGCCACCAGCCCCAGCATCAGCCCACAAAGCAGCTCCAGGCGTGGTTCCTGTGCCCTCAGCGGGCGCTGCAAGCACGGGCGGCTTCCGGAGCTTTCTAGGAATCGGCTCTTGCCCAAGCATGGGAGGAAGTGGCCGTCCCACGGTGCTTCCCAGCCCTCGGGGAGGGGCTCAGGCTGTGGGGTGGGGGCACTGGGGGGCTGCATTTCATCTTTCTGAGCCCACACCAGCAGCCACAGCCTGCCCCCAAAATCCCATTCCCTCGTCCCCCGTGTCTCTGTCCCCACATCCCCACGCCCCGGCCACTCTGCATCCCTCCCACGCAGGCAGGAGACAGCGGAACAGAAAGAGAGTGCAAAAATAGAGTTTTATTTCCATTTTTATCACATAGAAAAAAAAAAGAGAGCGGGTGTTTCTCGGGGCTCACCCAGCTGCAGCAATAAATACAGTACAAAACCCCCCACGCCTGGAGCTCCCACACAGCCACGGGACCGGGGCTGCGTCAGGCTCAGGAGGATGGGACCGTGTCCAAGTGGCTCTTTCCGGYCAGGGATGGGCACAAATAAATTAAACTGCAATAAGTGCTCCGAGTKTAGCAGGGAAGGGGGTACAGAGCAGAGATACAGCTCCCCAAAGTGTTGGGGCACCCTGGAAAAGCCTCATCCTGGTGAGACTGCTGCATKCCATCCTCCCTCCCCTCCCTAATGGCTAATAAATATTAATTACTAGAAATAACACCCATCAGATGTGTCCCTGCAGGCTGCAGCCTGGACAGGGAGATGCTGCTCTGGAGCATCCTCATCCTCAGATGAAGGCGATTTCCCGTGGGATACTGCAGCAGCCCCAGCAGCGTGGGGAAACTGAGGCACAGGCGGTGCCAGCAGCAGCTGCGGGGGCTCAGCCCAGCTCCAGAACCTCGTAGCAGAGATACGCTTGTGTTTAAATATTAAACAAGGGTGATGCTGCACAGGTACCTGTGCACGGATCCACAGCGGGGTCCCCTGGCACCTGCCCGGGGCCAGACAGATAAATATTAAATAGCCATAAATATTAAATAAGCAGAAAACGGGGCGCTCCCGGGATGTCCCTCGGGCGGGACATCCACGAACAGRGGTCAGAGGTTGGCGAGGTGCCGCAGCGCCCGGTATGCCGTCTCCAGGAACCGCTGGAAGTTGGCCAGGATGAAGAAGCCGCCGACTTGGTGGTGGAAATGGGAGGAGAAGGTGGGGAGGGGGTCCTGGTTCTCGCTGGGGTAYGTCACCGTGGCCAGACCCAGATCCTCCATCTGCAGCCGGGCAGAGGCAGCGGAATCAGCTCCCTGATGTGTCCCCTTCCCGGKGCTGCAGCCCCCACCGTGCCCACCCATCCTTCACCGTGCAGCACCTGCTTTACCCACCTGTCCCCACAAAGTCCCCCTTTGTCCCCTCACCTGCTGCTGGATGTTGGAGGACAGATTGGCCATGTCCAGCTGCAGGGTCTCCACCAGCCCAGCGTGCCCGGGCAGCAAGTTCTGGATGGTGGCCAGGGAGCCGTGGTAGGCGCGGAGCCCAGCGCGGATCTGGTTGAAGCAGGTCTCCTGTGGTGGGCATGGTGTGGTCAGCTGGGCTGGGCATGGTCTGGCCATCAGGACAGGGAGTTTTGGGGTGCTCGGGGCTGGGACAGAGCTGACCAGCTCGTGGCAGGGGTAGGCTGCCCGCACTCACCGGCTGGAAGGTGCGCCTGTGGCACTGCTCCARGGGCACCTGTGCGATGTCCAGGTCCTGCCGCACCAGCTGCAGCTCRTCCTCCTTGCACAGCTGGAAAGTGTCACACTGTAGGCAAAGGGGACAGGGTCAGGACAGCCAGAGGACACCAGCACCCCACAGCACCCCATCCCTGGGCTGGGGGACCATCTGCAGCCCAGACAGGAGGAAGGAGGGGATGGAGAGGACCCGGTGCAATGGGGTGGAGGTGTGGCTGCCCTGGCGAGTGTGTGCCCAGGAAGGTCACCACGTGTCTGCGGTGGGTGCCCCAACACCCCAGGGCTGAGCCTTGGGCAGTGCAGGGGACACCGCTGGCTCCTGGCCCTGCGGTGCCGATAAGGCCAGGGAGGGGAAGGTCCCTTTATCTGGGGATAAAGGATATCAGCAGCAGCAGCTGATGTGGGACTCACCACCACGCGCTGCAGCGCGGYCACATCCCCGAGGATCTTGCGGGTGAACTCGAGGTTCCTCTGCAGGAAGAGCTGGAAGTCCTGGTCCCCCGAGAGCTCGGCGAGCGGTGCCCCGTGCAGAGTTCTCCACGGCGCCCACAGCAGCACCCCCAGCAGCAGCGCCAGCCCACCTGCGGGGACAGCGGCTCAGCACCCACCGGACACCCCGGAGAGCCCCGACCCCACGCCCAGGATGGGCTCAGCAACCAGAACAACCACCCTGGGATGATGGCAGCAGCAGCGTGGCTTGGGGAAGGGGCAGAGACCCCAAAAAGGGAGAGGGAGCGGTGTTCCCTGTGTCCCGCCGGTGCAGGGGGCAGCAGCAGGGGGCTCTGGGTGTGTGGGTGCAGCAGGTGCTACAGTAGGGTGGGTTTATGGGTGTGCTGGGTGTAATGGGGACAGGGGGTGCTGCTGGCAGGGTAGGTGGTCTGTAGTGGGGACAGCGGGTGCTATGGGGGCAGCCGGTCCCATGGACAAAGCGGGGTTTAGSGGTGGTCTGGGCGCAGTGGGAGCAGCGGGAGATGGGGGTGCTGCAGCGGGTGCTGGGTACTCACGGGTGAGGAAGCACATGGTGAATGCCCGGCTCGGCGTTTCCTCCTCTGCCCAGCCCGGCCCGGCTCCKCTCGCTCCTGCCCGGCTCTGCTCATCGATCGGGGCATTTATAGCGCTCGGGCCTCGGGGATTCTCACCGATGAGGCAACAGTGCGATTGCTTCACTGCCTTAATCACAGCATGCAAATCCCGGGAACCGGGGCTCAGCCGCGACCACGCCACGGGGCTTTCCCGGGACCGGTGGGCAGYGGTGCCCCTCGGTGCGGCCGCAGGCGCCCGGCGGAGCCCGGACACTGAGGCGGCCACCGGGACGGGGCAGGTGGTGCCCTGGTGACTTATTAACCTGCCCGCAGGGCTCCCACTGCACTGGCCAGGTGGGCCAGTGGCCAGCACAGCGGGGTCATGCGCGGGGTCACTCGCAGGGTCAGCCACAGTGTCACTCTCAGGTGACTGGGCAAGGGGATGGTGGCTTCTCGCTGCCGCTGTCACTCCGTGGTTATCCCAGTGCCCACCACCCTGTCAGCTGCCTGAGACCCTCGCCCTGGCATCACAGCTGGTGTGACCTTCACGGCGGTGGCACCAGCTGGAGGTGGCCAAGGTGTGCCCCAGTCCAGGGCTGTGGCTCCCCGAGATGGCACCACAGGACCAGATCCTGTCCGGCTGTGTTGTGCCCACCCAATGTCCCCATGTGCAGCACTGAGCTCCGGCCACATTGGGCTGACCCCACCCGCGAGGGGTCAATTGGTCAATCCTTTCTCTGCCCCTTCAGGGAAGAGRTTTCCAGGGCAGCCCTTGGCACAGGGCAGCTGCTCCTGGCCCCGTTGCACTGACGTGGGAATTTTGGCTCGTGCYGGTTCCCGCAAGTCCTTCCAGGATCTGCTGGGCCGGTGCCAGCTGGGCCGGCTCCTGCCCGGCACGGGCTGTTCGGGGCACGGGAGGCACTCACTCCTCTCACAGCCCCGGGCAGGGTGACCCCGGGGCAGCGTTGGGCTGGGAGGGCTCGTTCGGCACCACTGACCCCTGSCTGGGTCGTTGGGAAGGKATGGGGACAGGGATGGGGACAGGGAASCCCATATCTGCAGGCACTGGGATGAGCCACACACTCAGTGGGATAATTTGTGGGGTACAGTTTGTGGGGTACAGCCACAGCACCAGTCCCAGAGGTTGGAAATCCTGGAAGTTCCTGCCCTCAGCTGAACTCCCATGAATTCCAAGCAGAGCCCTCCTGGCACAGGCTGGTGTTAACTCTGAACCTGCTGCTGATCTCCCTTCAAACCCGGCAGCACCAAGAGTTCTGCCCTATGCATGTGTGGGAGGACCTTGGCAGTAGGGACTGTTCACAGGATTTTTGGGAGAAACAGCCCCGTCAGCTCTGCCTGGGAGCCAAGGAGAGCCGGTGGCTGTTGGGGGGCTCAGCATGGCCCCCTCAGTCTGAGCACCCAGGGTGGATCTGCCCTCTCAGCAGGATGGTACTTTCAGGAATTGTGATGGGGGTGTGGGGGGCTGAATCAGCGCCCAAAGCCCCCGCAGCTTTCCAAGGAAGGAAGTGGTTTCAGATCCGAAACTCAGTGGGTGTTGGGGGGTGGAGGGTGGAGCTGCCCCTCCAAACCCCCCCTCTCCTGTGGGGCTGGAGCTGCTCTGTCCAGGGACTGTCCCTGGCATCCACCCGTTCGTTTCGGCCTCGTGGTCACCCTTCCTCCTCATGGGGCCCATCCCGGGCACTCTCGGCCCCTTCCTGACCTCTGCCAGCGTGTCCCAGTGTCCCCAGGGCCAGTCCCAGTCCCCTTGGCTGGGTTCTTGCCGTCCCTGCTCTCCCCTAGAGTGGGAACGGGCTGGGGCAGCCCCACACTTGACCTGCAGCACTGGGAGATTCCCAGATTTTCTCAGAGAACTCATCCCCGATGCTGACAGGACCCACCCGGAGCGGCTGCGTGTCCCGTCCCCATCACCCCAGGGATGATGCTGTGGAGCACAGTGGGGCCTGAGCCTAGTCCTATGCCTTTCCCAACGGAATCCTCCTGGGACAAAGCTCCAGTCCCCCAGGATGGCCTAAATCCAGTCCCATCTCTGGTGCCCAGCCCCATGGAAGGAGCAGAGACCCCAAACCAGCCCCCTGCCCCCTCCCCAATCCCAACAAATCCATGGCAGGAGCCATCCAGGCTGGTGTTTTTCCATCTTTTATTTTAAAAGTCATAATTGAAGTTTAACAAAGTTTGACCCCATTGCTGTAGTAGGAGCTGGTGGGRCATCAGTGGAGACCCCACTCCTGCCCCCTCCAGCCCCGTTCCCCTCACAGCCCCCCCGGCCTCGGCTCCGATGTCACCACAGGGATCCTTTTAAGGATGTTTTTTGGGGAGGGGGATCCCACCACGGGTGTGAGTGGTCGGAGGGTGCGGGCCCAGGGAACCCCCCGTGTCCCCTCCCACAGTACAGACATGCAGGGATTTATAAAAGGGGGGTCTGGGGGGGACGGAGGGCCCTGCTCAGCCACCATCTGTCCAAGGGACAAATAAAAAAAAATACAGCCAGGGCCCAGGGTCACGGAAAACCGTCATCATCGTCCTCTGCCATCTCCTTGGCAAACTCCAGGTCCTGCTGCTCACGCTCCCGGCGCTCCTGGAAGGCAAAGGCCSAGGTTGGTGGCAGGTGGGGACAGAGCCACATCCTTCCCATGACTGCAGAGACCCTGGTGAGATCTCACCTCTGCAGATTCCAAGTCCTTGTTGTACGATTTGGGTGGGAATCTCATGGCCTGGAGARAAAGAGGAGGAGGAAGGTGAGCTCAGAGCTGAAGCAGCCCTGAGCTGTGTCCTGCTGTCCCCCCAGGGAGCTGGGGACACAGTGTGCTCACCTTCACAGACATGTTGTGGATGTCAAGGCAGAAGGAGATGCGTTGGTGGAAGGCCAGCTGGGGCTCCCGTGTGGAGTAGATGTCGATCATCTCCTTGGACTGCACGTAGCCCTTCTCGTGGTTGATGCTGGCCTCGATCACGCCGTCCCGGATGGCCTGTGAGCCCAGGCACGGGGCAGGGCACGGGGTGTCCCCGTGGGCTCGGGACACGGCGCACAGAGCGGGGATGTGGCGCCCYGAGTGTCCCCTGGAGGAGCCTCAACCCCAACCCAGGGGCGCTGCAGGGACGGGGCGGGCTGTGGGAACCCCAGGACCCCAGAGGGATGGGACTCCCTGTGCCCATACCTTGGCAACGATGAACTCTGCATCCTCAGGGCTGTCCAGCTGCAGCTTCTGCGCGATGTCAGCCAGGGAGATGCGGGAGTAGGAGAGGCTGATCATGCGGACACCTGCGGGGAGAAGGGAAGAGGATGCAGCCCCCCAGCCCTGCCCAGCCAGGGGGGACCCCAAACACCCTCCTACCTGTCTTGATGACGTTGTGCCTCAGCCGAATGATCAGGGTGTAGGTGCCGTCAGCCTGGAACTTGTCCCCAAACTGGTCAAGGACTTGGTTGAACTTGGCCAGGTTCCCCGTCCTGACAGCTGGAGRGAAGAAGGTGGGCACAGGGGAAGGAGAAAGGCTGAGGAAAGCGAGTCAGGGCTGGCTGACTTCCTCCTCCTCCTCCTTCCCAACTGCCACCTGCATCCAAGTGCCATCAAGGGGACAGAAGAGAACTCCCCACTTCCCATTGAGGAAATGATTCTCTGACGTTGCAGCAGGGACARGGACAGGCGGGGGCAGGCGGCCGTACCCTGGGTCAGCAGGAAGTAGGGCATGAGCGAGCGCTTGAGGGAAGGCTGCCGGAACTGGAGCCTGTCCGGGATCTCCCCGAGGAGCAGCTCCACCACGATGAGCAGCTTGTGCACCTGGGGCAGAGCGAGACCCTGAGTGAGTCCTTGTGGGGACCAAACCACTCCTGTCCCTCAGGGGCCCAACACCCCAGAGGTCCTGCGCCCATCCCTGTGGGGCACAAGACCCCAGGAGATCCCAAATCTATTCCTGTCCCTGTGGAAGGTCCCAGATTTGTCCCTGCCAAGTTCCTAATCTGAGGTCCTGCACCTCCCTGCAGGGCCCAACACCTCTCCCCAGGGACACCAAACCTGGGAGATCCCAGATCTCCTCATGGAAGGTGCCAAGCCTAGGAGGTCCCAGAATTGACCCTGTGGAGCCCAACACTGAGGGGATGCCCTGAACCTGACCCCGAGAAGTCTCAAATCCCACAGAACCTGACTCCATGGGGCCTGACACCCCAGGAGGTCCCAAAACTGGGAAGTCTCAAACCCAACTCCACAGGATCTGACACTCCAGGAGGTCCCAAACTGGGAAGTCTCAAACCCAACTGCATGGGGTCTGACACCCCAGGAGGTCCCAAAAACCGTAAAGCCTCATCCCAACTCCATGGAGTCTCACATCCCAGAAGCTCCCACATCCAACCCCTGTGAGATCCCATCCCTGAGGGTCTCAGACCCCACCCTGAGAGGGTCCTGCCCCCTCCCCACTCACCGTCTGCTTGAAGGCCATCATCCAACCCCTGTGAGATCTCAACCCTGAGGGTCTCAAACCCCACCCTGGGGGTCCTGTCCCCTCCCCACTCACTGCTTGAAGGCCATCATCCAACCCCTGTGAGATCTCAACCCTGAGGGTCTCAGATCCCAACTCGAGAGGTCCTGTCCCCTCCCCACTCACCATCTGCTTGAAGGCCATCATCCAACCCCTGTGAGATCCCATCCCTGAGGGTCTCAGATCCCAACTCAAGGGGTCCTGTCCCCTCCCCACTCACCGTCTGCTTGAAGCCGACGGCCGTGTGCTGCGGGGCCTTGCGCAGGGCGTTGGTCATGGTCCTCCGCGCCTCCGAGTACTCCAGCTGGATTGCCTTGATCCGCCCTGCGCCCACACGGGGCGGGTGGGGAAAGCCACCCAGTGAATCCAACCCCACCTACAYGGATGGGGCTCCAAATCCTGCCTGGAAGCCCCACCTGCAGCTGCTCAAAGGGGTTCTCTGAGGAACCGCTCGGTGTGGGGTGTCAGGAGCCAGGGTGGGCACTGAGCCCCCCTCACCTGTGTAGTACAGATACCGAGCCCACTCGTTGTTGTTGGCCTGCTCGGGGAACACAGACTTGGAGACRAGCTTCTCAGCCTGGTCGTAGAGGTTGTAGTGGAGATAATTCCTCAGGAGAAGGTTCAGGAGCGTGGCCTGGCCGTCRGCGTCGTGGCGCAGCGTGGCTGTGCGGAGCCGGGCGTGCAGGAAGCTGCAGGTGGGACAAGGAGTCAGGGAGGAGGGAGCAAACAGGCTGTGAAATTTAGAGACACTCCCCCCTGCAGGACCCATCCCACCTCCGGACCACGTCGAGTTTGTTCAGGAATTCGTAGATCCGGGAGTGGTAATAGTAACACTTGGCCACCACCAGGTCCAGGGCGCGGCGGTTCTGGGAGCTGATCTTCTGCATCAGATCATCGGACACTTTCTGTGCCTGCAGGAGGGGAAGGGAGGTCAGAGCAGGGGGATTGATCCCAGGAGGGGCAGAGACCACCTGGGCTGTGGGGCTGAGCCTGGGGTGGCAGCTGGGGACAGAGCAGAGCAGTGCCAAGGGATCCCTGGGGTGCAGCAATGCTGCAGGGGCACCTTGGGGGTCTTACCTCGGGGTATCTTTTGCTGTTCATCAGGTAGATGACGAGCAGCAGCTGCAGGTAGGTCTCCACCTCTGGCAGAAGAGGAGCTGAGGCTGCTTTTCCTGTCCGTGGGCGGAACTGCAGCTCAGCTTCTGTGTCCATGGACTGAGGGGAGAGAGAAATTCTGGATCCCTGTTCCTGTGTGAAAACAACTCTGCTACAGGTGTGAAAGGCGCCAGCCCAGGACTGCAGGGAGCTGTCCCTGCTCACACGTTGTGTCTGAGCAGAGGGAATGCTCCTCTCCAGTGTCCCCAAACCCCACTGCCCTACTCCAGAGGCTCCCTGGAGAGGGAAAGAATCGTGGAATCCCAGACTTTTTTGGGTTGGAGGGACCTTAAAGTTCTTCCAGTTCCACCCACAGCCATGGACAGGGACACCTTCCACTAGGGCAGGTTGTTCCAAGCCCCGTCTAGACTGGCCTTGGACACTTCTGGGGACAGGGCAGCCACAGCTTCTCTGGGAAATTCATTCCAGTGCTCCACTGCCCTCACAGGGAAAAATTTCATCCGAATTTAATCCTGTCCTCTTTCAGTGGGAAGCCTTCCCCATGACTTCCCCATGTCCTGTCCCTCCAAGCCCTTGCAAACAGTCCCTCTCCACTTTTTCTGCTGCTCCTTCAGATACTAGGAGTTCTACTCTAAATCTTCTCCAGGCTGAACAAGCCAAATTCTCTCAGTTTTTCCTCAAAGCAGAGCTGTTCTACCCTTCTGATCAACTTGATGCCTCCTCTGCACTCCCTCCTACAGCTCCACATCCTTCCTGTGCTGGAACCCCTGAGCTGGGACAGCTCTGCAGGATGGGGGTGCGATCAAAGCAGGGCAGAGATGAGGGCAGCTGTCCCTTCCCCATTCCAGTCCCTACCTCCTCCAGGAATCCGAGCAGGAAGTCCCTGACAGCGCAGTTGGAGGTGAAGAAGCCGTGGATGGCCTTGTGCAGCACGTTGGGGTTGAGGCGGCGCGAGGTGGAGGGCAGAGCCCGCAGCGCCCGCAGGACATAGCGCGGCTCCTTCCCCGACACCGCCTTCTCCAGCTGCTTCACGTGCTCCTTAATGTCTGYGGGGGCACAAGGACACCTCTCAGCCCAAATCCTCTGCCAAGGGCACCCCGGAGCAAAATACAGCTGCCCCCTTGGCCCATTCGTGCCCTCCACCCATGGCCTTGGTGTTGTTCCCTGTACCTGACCTGTCCTCAGGACTGTCCCTGCTCGGAGCAGGGAGCTGGGGAGACCCTCAAAGAGTCTTCTCCCTCTTCCCCAAGGGCTCCAGCCACCCCCTGCACCCCCACGGGTCCCACCACAGCAGGTCTGCAGCCCCCTGCCCCTCACAGCCTGTCCCCCCAAAACACAYCTCCGTTTCACTTTCCCTCACAGAGCTGCTCCACTCCCCTTCCATACAGTGATTCCACCGCTCTCAGAGTGACTGCGCCCCAAACCAAACTCCCAACTCCCTTTCTCTCACAGAACACCTCCCATCCCCTTCTCCGCATTGTTTCCCCGCAAAAAAACCACTCCTCCTCTCTCCCTTTCCCACACGACGCCCCCCAACTCCCCTTCCCCCAAGTGCTCCCCCTCCCCAAACTCACCTCCCATTTCTTTTTCCCTCAGAGTCTCCTCCACTGCCCTCCCCACACTGATCCCATTCCCCTCCTTTCCAGCTCCTCGCCCACCTTCCCTCAAGTATCTCCACCCTGACCCCTCTCCAACCCCCCAAGACTCCCTACTAACCCCAATCCCCTTCCTCCAACATCCCTCCTCTGTCCCAAATCCCCTCAACCCTCAAGACCCCCCAGTTCGCCCCCCCCATCCCCACAGACACCCCGATCACAACAACACCCTCCCCCTCACCCTCCAACGTGATGGCGTCCAGCTCCCTCTGCGGCTGCCGCTCCCCGGCCGCCTCGGAGGCCACCGGCGCCGCCTCCTCATGCATCTCGACATCGGGGGGAGCGGGCGGGGGTCCCTCCGGGGGTGCCTTGGCCTTGTCGCCGCGGCGGCGGGACGCGCCGTCCTGCTTCATGGCGTGACACTGCACAACGGGCCGCCAGGCGCGACCAGCCGAACGCCGAGCCACACACGATCGTCTCCTTCCGCCTTCCGCTCGGCCGTTTCCGCCCTCGCTCGGGGAGTTCCGCCGCGCTTTGGGATGAGCCAAGCGCCGTTCGGAGACTTCCGCCGCTCCCGCTCGTGGAGTTCCGTGGCGCTTTCGGTTATTTCCGTCTTCGCTCGTAGATCTTCGCCTCGTCGTCGGGAGTTTTGGCCGAGCTCTCTCGGAGCGTTCCGGCATAGATCGGCTTCTTCCGCCWCGCTCGCTCGGGAATCTCCGTAGCTCTTTCGGGTGTTTCCGTCCGGCGCTGAGCTGTTCCCGCCTTTTGGGGGCGCAAGCGAGGGCGAACCTTCGCTGAGGCGAAGCGCGAGGTCCTGTGAGGACGGGCTGGGGTCAGATCGGGGATCCTGTGAAGAACCCCATGAGGGGCCGGACTGTGAGCGAAGATCCCGTGAAGTGTCCCGTGAGGGGCCGGACTGTGAGGGAAGATCCCGTGAAGTGTCCCGTGAGGGGCCGGACTGTGAGGGAGGATCCCGGCAAGTGTCCCGTGAGGGGGTTTCCATGAAGTGTCCCGTGAGGGACTGGGCTGGGACCGGGGATCCTGTGAAGGGCCCCGTGAGGAGCCGGGCTGTGAGGGAGGATCCCATGGAGTGTCCCGTGAGGGGCCGGGCTGGGACCGGGGATCCCGTGAAGTGTCCCCTGAGGGGCCGGGCTGGGACCGGAGATCCCACAAGTGCCCTGTGAGGGGCCGATCTGTGACGGGGGATCCTGTGAAGGGCCCCGTGAGGGGCCGGGCTGGGGTCGGGGCTGGAGCTTGGGGTCACATGAGGGACTGGACTGTACCAGGGGTTGTGTGAGGGGCTGGGTTGGAGCTGGAGGTTCTGTGAGGGGTCTGGTCTGGGACTGCAGCCAGGCTCCCCTCATAGCTGCTGCAAGGCAGAGCCTGGCCCCTGGTGCTGGAGATGCTCCTGGAGCCATCAGTGCCCATCCAGGTGGGCAGAGATGCCCCTTRTGTTGGGCACCCCAGACCTCCCAGRGCACCAYAGCCTGAGGRACCCCSTGACTTTYCTCCAGAGGTAAATGCTGTATTTTTGGTACAGCATCTCAAGCTGGTCAGATGTRCCGTGGGACCAAAACCACACGAAATTAAGAAATTGACTTATAGAACACAGTTTAGCAAGAAGCTCTTCTTTATTTATAAAGTGATAATGAGAGTATGGTTGCTCTAAAGTGCTGCCGGAATCCCTCGAGCATCTCAGGGACAATGGCAGTGCTGGRACCAGGGAGGTGTCAGTGAAACCTCTGGGGTTCCCCCACCTTATGATCACCAACAGTTCATGAAGTCCTCACAGAACCACAGAGGGACCAGATAAGTGAGTGACTCCTGGTATTTACCTTTGGATTTTGTTTCCATTGCATTTCTATTTCCTTTTCTTTTGCATTTCCCCTTTTCATTTGCATTCCCGTTCCTTCTGCCTTCCCTTTCCCTTTGCATTCCCTTTGCCATTACTGATTGCAGAAATGGCAGCAATTTTAAGGAAGCATTTTAATCACTGCAGCCAGGCCTGTGATTCTTTGAGGATATTCCTGTTGT